GGGATGTTATTTCTTTATCCGCTCAACCGCTTAGTTCAACTTATTTCTTATCACAGTTCAGGTAAGCGGCACGTTTATTGTTATCTAGCACAATCAAATCGGGTTTCGCATTGCTTCTTTTCACTCACTGTTGTTGCCCATCTTCAAGAGGTCGGCTGGTGAAGGATTTAAGCCGGTGCTCCGGCTCGAACGGCCGCTGGAGAGTTGCTCGGCACTTGCCTTCTTTGGGGGAGGAGATCAAAGCCTGATTCAGCTTCTTCCGAAGCTGAACCACGCCAATCTCACACTCCCTCTTAGGCGCTGCTGCCTGCTTGTCCCCCCCCTCACTGGGGCTAGAAACTGCCCAAACTGTCAAAAGCGGCCGTCGCTCACTTCGCACAATCGCGAAAGTGCGTCAGTCCTCCATCTTAGCTCAACCGGAAGCCAGACCACTCTTGACCCATTGTAATGAATGAGCCCTCCTCTTAGAGATAAGTTCATTGATGATCATCTTCCCCTGTGAGAAAGTGAAATCAGAACCCGTGACCTCTCTATCACCGCATCTTTATCATCAGCTTCTAAAATAATGTTCCGGACTTCTGCAAGTGACCAGGTCTGTCTGTTTCTCTGTCTAGACATTGAGTCTCATGGTCAGATTCTGACACCCAGCAATTGACTAACAACCTTCTCCTCTCAAACTGTTTTCCTTCCGATACCATCAGAGAGCTGAGATGAATGTGAAGCCAAACTGACTGTGCTTGGCGGAAACAGTTCCCTTTCACCCAGGATCCAACCTCTGAGAAACACCTCTCCCTTCCAGGAACCATTCTCATAGCAAAGTTAAGGTCAACAGAAGGTAGGACATCTCTCTATTGTCACTCTCTCCCACTTGCACATTTGAATATTCTACATCCTAAATGGCAAACGGGGCTATCCAGGAAACTGAATCAATGGTAAAACAATGAACTGGATGCTAAACCTACAAACACACCAGAATAATTCCCACATTCACTTCTCCTCCATTGGAGGCCTACACATTCCAGAGCTAGCGTGGTGTAGTGCTTAAGAGTGGCAGACTAATCTGGAGACCTGAGTTTGGCCCCCCACTCCTCCACATGAAGGCAGCTAGGCCAGTCTTGGGCCAGTCACAGTTCTCTCAGAACTCTCTCATCTCACCCTACCTACCTCACAAGGTGTCTGTTGGGGAGAGAGGAAGGAAAAGATGTTTGTAAACCGCTGAGACTCCTTAAAGAAAAGCGGGGTATAAAAAACAACTCTTCTTCTACAATCCCACTTCAAATGTTTAAAATTCCCCACAGGGAACAAATGACACACCTACGTGAGAGACACAACATACACCCTGGATCTATAGCTATGACCTGGCATAGTGCTCCCTTCCACAGAGTGGAGGAACGGGGGCTTCCACTCCTCTTGACCATGAGGGTGACTGAGTGCCAACACTATGGTGCATGAGGTAAAGCACAAGTGATTCTCCCTCTTTTTGAGGGGAGAGAAATCACAAAATTTGGCATTGTTGTGAATGGCCTGCTCATACACTACTTTTTCTCATCTGGGTGCAGCAACAAGGTCATTCTGCTCTGGCGGTTTTATAGGCATGAACTGGGGCACAGATTCCAACTCACTCTTAAGACCAGAGTAATGCCTCACAAGTGGAGACAGGGTACAGTTTACGCTGGAAGAGCTGGCTTCTTACCTCCACATCTTTCTCTATCTCCAGACCGGCTTCCGTCAGGTTGCGCTCAAATTCCTCCCTCTGCTCCCGTTTTGCTTCCTCCAGAACATCCAGTGGGCCCATATCAACCACTAGAGCATCTGGATTGGGTACATCCTGGCCGTGAGCCTCCTCCTGTTGCTGCTCAGGGTGGCTTTTGGCTGTCTCCCCATTAGAAATAATAGCCAAAGAAGCAGGTCTGTGCAGGGGGCCCGGGGAGCCACCAGCGTGGTGTGCTGTCCGTTTTCTGTAATGATAAACTAAAACGTAGTCCACTTTCCTCTTGCTGTCTCGGAAGTGCATCCCTCCGGGTGAGGTCCTTTCTGGGAGTCCTGTTGGATCTGCATCCAGGTAGTTGTTAATAATCTGGAAGAAAGTTAGAATAAACTCAGTGGAGGACTTCCTGAGTGGCCGCAGAAGGAAGCAGACGCAGGCTGAGTGAGCTCCTGCCTCTACCCTCCTAAAATCGACTATAAATCGGACTATCCACCTGAAAATCGTGATACAAAGGGATGGGAGGAGCATCTAAAGGGAAATCGAAAAGACATCAGTTACTGGGGTCCTCGGTGAAGACTTATTTTACAAGAACAGAGGCAACTAAGACTGCAGGATTACCAGAACAAAGGGGGCTCAACATAGCGACAGGCAACTCAACGCCAACTTCAAGAGCTACAGACAAAGACGCCTCAATTACAAGGAAAGATCTGGTGGAGTTGAAATAAGACCTTCTAAAATCCCTTTCAGAGATGGTAACGACTTTGATTCAACCTTTACAATCCCAGATCACTGAATTACAAAAGGACTTAAGCGTCACTTCTACTCTGGCTGAAAACAATGCTGAACTCACACTCACTTTCCAAGAAGACATGAAAACAACCAGAGCCGCTGAAAAGCAAATTAATGCCCAGATAATGGCCCTGGAGCACCATTGGCATCAATTTAATCTGAAACTGAGAGGGCTGAATGAGGGAGAGGAACAAGGAAGAGACATGGAGCAGTTTATCTCAGAATGGCTGTCATCGGAACTCAAGTTGGAGGACGGTAAGCAGCCTACCATTGTTAAAGCCTTCAGAACCCTGGCCATTGCAAGGAGAAACTGCCCCAGAGACATTCTAGTACAGTTTTTATACCCTAAAACCAGAGACAGGGTCCTCAGGGAGGGGAGAATTCGAGGGTCACTACAGTTTAAAGATGATAAAATCCAAGTTTTGTTGGATCTGTCAGTGAAAACCCTTGATAAACGCAGAAGCCTCAAAGTTTTCGCTACTAAACTTTTCAAAGCTGGCATCCGTTTCCGTTGGAGCCCTGCGTCAGATATCCAAGTTTTCAGGAATGGCCAACAGCATCAAGCAACTGATATTCCCTCTGGCAAAGCTCTTCTCAGTGCATTGAACCTCCAACTCACATCAGAGGAAGAGCAAGCCCGCTCCTCCCCTTGCACCTGCTGATGTGACCTTGGGTCAGTCACAAGCTCTGGCACAGCTGAAAAAGAGCAGTTTGTGTCAGAGTTCTCTCAGCCCCAGCCCCACCCACCTCACAGGGTGTTTGTTGGGGAAGGGGAAGGAGTTTGTAAGCCGCTCTGAGACTCCAAGTGAAGGCCAGGGTATAAATCCAATCTCTTATTCTTCTTCTACTTCTGAAGTGTCCCTGCTCCTTTACTTACTGTCTTTGCTTCCTGCCAGCAATATTTACAGGGAATGTATACTGAAGTTAATTGAATCTAACACATTTCCAATACCTGGATTCATGCTGTTTGCACTAACCATGGACTGCTTATTCACTCATCTCATATGATGTCCTTTCATTATTTTTAAAAATGTGGTCAGGTCTCAATTTTTGAAATATTGTAGACGGATGGTCTTAATCAGTCATGGATGTTAATAATATTATTTCTATTAACAGGTAAAAAATAATAAAGAGATAAAAATTTTAAAGGATGTGCCATGGAGGGTTAGGGGGAAAAGGCAACGGTACTCTGTATTAACCAATCGGTTACAGTCAAATGGAATTTCATATAGATGGTTATTTCCAGAAGTAATATTATTCAACTACCAAGGCAGAAGGCATAAAATTGATTCTATATTTAAAGTAAAAGAATTTCTGGAAAGGTTTGAAGGAAACTTAGGATGGCAAGGAGAAGAACAGGAGAGTGAAAATGAGGAAGAAACAAATGACCCAAAAGCAAAAAAAGCTAAAAAGAAAGGACAGGCTAAAGGGAAAAAAAGAACAAACTTCACCCCCTCAAAAATACAAGATACCAATACAGAGAAAAGACAAGAAGAAATGTAAATAAAGATGGAGACAATGAATAAAGTCAAGATACTCTCAGTCAACGTAAATGCATTTAACAGCCCCCCCAAAAGAAATAGGACATTTCACCAAATAGACAAACTTAAACCAGTTATAACTTGTATACAAGAAACTCACATTAAAGAGGATACAAAGTATTTAACAGAAAAAAAATAGGAAAGGTATTTCCACCACCTCATAGAATGGTAATACTACTTTCCTATAATTTTTTTTTTTAAAATGTGGTCAGGTCTCAATTTTTGAAATATTGTAGACGGATGGTCTTAATCAGTCATGGATGTTAATAATATTATTTCTATTAACAGGTATTTCTTGAAATTGTTATTAGGAGGTTGAAGTGGCTGCTGAATGTTGGGTTTTGACTCTACTGAGTATCTAACCCCTCTTTTTTCTTTCTTTTTTTGCATTGCCTTACTTCTGGACAGGGTATTCCAGAAAGTGTACCCTGATCTAAGTTAGGGTAGGTTTTAGATAGTGTCTTAACATAGTTAGAGATAGGTAGTATAGGTGCTAGTTGTATAGTAATTGCAGGTACTCTTACTAGTAGTTTGTAAAGTGATGTAAGATTAGAAGCACAATTGCACATCCTTTTAAAATATGTTCTTGGAATGCTAGGGGTTTGAACAATAAGCACAAACTTTATAAAGTTTCTTCCTTTTGGGCAAAGGAACATCCAGACATTTTATGTCTACAGAAAACCCACCTGAAAAATCCACCTCAGCGTATTTTGAAATCAGCATGGTTCATCCAGCAGTTCCACGCAGCAGGAACCTCTAAGTTGAGAGGAACAGATAGGCAGATCTATGGGATCGCTGGGGTGGAATATAAAACTAGTCTGTATGCAGATGGTGTGATATTCTATTTAACCAACCCAGAACAGTCTATAAAACATTTGCTCGCTCATTTGAACAAATTCGGTACTGTAACAGGTTTTACTGTTAACTATAAGAAATCAGAAATTTTCCCAGTATGTGTATCAGATCGCCAAAGAGAGAACTTAAAAGCAATGTTTCCCTTTAGTTGGGTGGAAAACACTTGGAGATACCTGGGTATACATTTCCCTGTGGATAACTCCAACCTTTATGCCTGTAACTTTACCCCATTAATAGAACAAGTTAAATCAATGATGTATGACTGGGCTCAATTAAATATGTCCCTAACAGAGAAAATATATCTTTTTAAATCAGTATTACTACCCAAATTTTTATTCCTTTTTCAAAACCTTCCTGTTTCTATCCCGGCAAAGGACTTTTTGCAATGGAAAAAATTGCTCCTCAACTGTCTATGGTCTGTTAAAAAGGCTAGGATTAATTAGGCCACTCTTGTCAAACCGTCTAAGCAAGGGGGGTTGGGCCTTCCTGACTTAGAAAAATATTATTTGGCCTCACAATTGAAAACTATATTTTTTTACGCTTCTCCCAAGTATGATAAATCATGGATGCCTTTAGAAACATTAGAGATTGAACCTAGTTACCTGTATGAATATATCTGGGACCAGACTAAGACTAGTCAAGCATTGAAAATATTAAACCCATACCAAATACACCTGCATCTCTTTTGTTACATTTTTGGCCAGGTCTGAAGCTGTCTAAACAGAACAAAGAGTTAATTTCTACTATGCTAATGGCTACAAAAAAACTTAATTGCTTTAAATTGGAAATTAATTAAGGTACCAAATCTGTCACAATGGAGTTCTAAACTGTGGGACCTGATAGTTTCAGATAAAATCACTATGCAATTAATAGCTTTTGACAATCCGAAAGGTGTTAATAATTTTTTGGAAAAATGGTTTGTGTTTTTTGAATATCTTACTGCTTGTCAACCCCGATTATATGCACTACCTCAGAAATATAGAGACTTTGTGTTCATTAACAAGTATTGTGCGTATGGATAACATTTCTCTTCTTGTTTATTAGATGTTGTTGAAAGATACTGTATACAACTATCAAGTAATACAGGATGTAAAAATATATAAAACTCAATAAAAATGCTATTTTTTAAAAAAACACTCAGTGGAGGAAGTTTTTCAGGGCCAGGCAGTCTGAGGATTCAGAGTCTTCCTTCCCACAAACCCACATGATATTCAGAGTAAATGTGTAAGTCTAAATGCTGTTCATATACAGGAATGAAGCAGACAGGATTGAAATTATGCAATATGGTTCCCTATGGTTCCTCAATATGGGGTGGGAAATGAGCAATATGGTTCCTTAATCCCATATGGTTCTTCAAGCAGAAATCAGCCACATTACAGAAAGACATTTTTGGACTGTGAATGATTCAAACAGACACCCTTCTCACACACTCACACACACACACACACACACTATAATAATTATTATCGTATGGCATTGTATGTAGAAAAACCAGGAGATCCTAAAATTTTCTGGCAGCCAGAAGTTCTAGCTCTTTTAGCATTATGAATCACTAGGTGGTGAGTTAGACTTGTTTTTGAGGCAAGAGACGTTTCAAAAGTGGTTTGCCATGGCCTGCCTCTGTGTCATGATGACCCTTGTATTCCTTGGAGGTCGCCCTTCCAAATACTAGCCAAGGCCGACTCTGCTTAGCTTCTGAGATATGACAAAATTGGGCTAGCCTGGGCTGTCCAGGTCAGGGCACACACAAACTGCTTTCCTGGTTCAGGTCTATCTAGCCTCCCATTCCATTTCCAATAAAGCCGAATACTTCTGGGCACTCACAAGCAGGGCCATTCGTCCTGTGTTCCTAGCCAGTGTGATGCAGAGATAAAAGTACTGGATTAGTCATTCTCTCTTAGGTTGCGATCAGAAGGGCAGTTAAATTCGCTGTTGCCCCGCCTCTAATAGACCCAAATTATTTTGTTACAGAAAATCCTGACGAGACTCACCCCTTTTAGCACTCTTCAAAGCGATTTTACTGGCTGTGGAATGACCAGACAGCATCAAGCACTGAGTCAGTCCATCGGCCATTTTTTTATAAGTTTGTCCTGGGAGCATGCCCACAAGCAGGGATGAGCC